TAAACAATATAAATATATATATAAATAATAATATTATAATTATAAATATATATATATATATATATATAAACATATATATATATAACATATATATATATATATATATACATATATACAGGGTGAATCTTAATGGATATGCCAACATTTTATCATGGGAAGAGTTACCGACTGTAATCTATTAGTATATTAGTATATTAGTGTGTATGTATAGGCAGAATTATGTCAAGAAGATTATTATTTAATATTATGTATTTGTGACAAAGAGAATGATGTCAAATAAACAATATTTTATATTAATACTAAAATTCTCTATTTTATATAATATTGTTATAAAATAAAATAATTTTCTATGAATAAGATGTAGAAATAAGATCACGTTGTTGAACAATACATCACGTAGATTAAAAGTCTACACTAAATAGTTTACTTTAAAAGATTATAAATGCAAAAAGGTGAACGATATTGTCTATAACAGAAAGTATCAGATCATTGGATTGGTAGCGTTGCTTTATCAAAAAAAGGACAAATCTTCTATTGTTCTGCTCGTTATCATGTAGATAAACAGGATAAGATAAGAGATAAAATATGCGTTATATATTTTTACTATTGACAGTAAATATTGATGTTTATCTGTTAGAATTTTCTTTATTGATTTTGAATTTTATATTGCCTAAATACGAAGAATGTCGGTAAATGCGAAATATGTAATACGACGTTTGATAATGGCACTAATTGCAAATTGAAGAATAAAATAAAGTTGATAGTTTTAAGATGACGCTATGATGTAGTTTTGATAGTTTTCAAATTACAACATTTTCAGCCAGTAATTTAAATGGGTTTGAATTGAACTGAATATATGTTACATACGGGCTCGATTAAAAATAGATTATTATAGATTTATTGTAAGGTAATTTTATATTTATAATTATATTTTCGACATGTCTTTATGAAATATTAAGTATGTAACTTTTTGAATATAATTATAATTAATTTAATTATAAATTAATAAAATAGATCACATTATTAATCACTTTCGGAGCAATCAAAATCCATATAATCGAAAATGTTATTATATGTGTATGCTTGGGAGTATTTTTCTGCGATTAATATTTAAGAAATATTAATGGATATTCATTATTTTCAGCGAAACATTTTTCGTATGCTTTATATCCTATTGTTTATATGAGCTGTATAAAAATTATTCAACATTAGTCGATAGCAAGCATATGCATCGCTTGTCGCGATATGCCAATCAGGATAATATCATCGATGCTTCTGATTGATTGTTGCGACAAACAATGTATGTTTGCGATCGACTTGCGATTAATGTAGAACAATCTTAACAAAGCGCATGTCGACACGATTATTCTGAATATTTTTACCATGCAAAAAGTAAAGATATACTTCGTTTCGGATTCTGACGTCACGCTTGATGGTATCTCGCTCTTCGATCAGGATTTAAATTCCAGAATTTATTTTGGTCCTTATGAGACTTTAAATTTATCGTAAAATTTTAATTATCCCAACATCCGTGCAACTCTATGCGAATATCTCGCTAAGAATATATATCGATCCGATACGTGAAGTAAGGAATTATATATATATATATATATATATATATATAATTATAAAATTTTTTTAT